TTTTTTTTTTTTTTTTAGAGGTTTTCACTATAGGGCGCGTGCGCTCACCAGATAGACCGAGACATAGAGACAGAAAGCGAGAAATCACCCCCCAGGGGGGATGGTCACGCCGCAATCCCTTCTCCTCCATTCCCCTCTCGGGATCTTGGGCACGCACACACACGCCCCTGGCGTGAGTTTTAAGCCACCGGGTCCGGGACGCGAACCACTGTTGACTACGTGGGAGTTCAGTGACATAGCCATTACGCTAACTGCTGGTCCTAAGATCTGTTTTGATAAAGAAGCCAAAGCTTATCCTCTGGCCCCTTATCCTATACTGATAGCTGATATTTTTCTCTCTTCCTTCATGACTGGCTCAGTTGTTCCCTGATACTTTTCTTCTCTTACTACTTTTGTTATCTGCCAGTTTTTCTCTCCATTGTGCTCATTCCTCTCCCATTCCATTTTTTCTTCTTACAGCAGGTGTTACAGTATTTGAAAGTATGAACTTTTCTTAATTGCCAGAGGGCACATATGGTCTCCAGAGAGAGAGAGAGAGACAAAGAGGGAGAAAAGGGAAAGGGAGAGGGAAACAGCACCCATAAATGGGGTGTGGTTAGGCCTCTATTCCTTCTTAATTTCTCCATCCTGTTGCGATTTTGAGCACACAGGTGCATGCACCCTGCATGTTTTTTAAGCCAGTGGGGTGAGACTTGAACTGGGATCTGCCATGTGATATCCAACTCCCTTAACCACTAGACTACTGGGGTAACCCTCAATTATAAACTTTAAAGGTAGTTAAAGATTTCATTGCCAGCTTCTCCTTCAATAGATATGGGAACTTCAGTACATTATAAATGTCCATAGCCACAATTTCACCTTTTGTAAAATAAGGGACTAATGCTTACTTTGTAGGGCTCTCATAAGAGTTAAATGAGGTAAAGTAGACAAAGCCCTCAAGGGCAATAAGATTGTTATTATCAAAAGAGCCTCAGGCCTTGAATACTGACTTGAGTGGTTGGATGTCCAGACTTGCAGTGCAGGCTCAGCTGCCATTCTTGCCCTGGTAGGCTTCTGTATTGTTTGGCTTATCTTTGACATTGTTATCAACTGGTTCAGTCCAGTTCTGTATATTAAGTTTCTTCTATGCCTATACACCATGCTAGGTACTAGAGATCCAAAGAGAAATAGGATAGTGCTGACCATAGGAGAGTATTGGGCTGAGAGCATAGATACCAAATAGAATCACAATGTAATGAAATAAGTAAAATCACCAGATACAAGTAGGATGCCTATACATGCTATGGAGAGGTTTAGTCTCTTGGGAGGGAGAAGGAAAGAAAATATTTCAAGTTTGGAATGATACATAAGGCAAGCATGAACAGTTGCACGGAGGGTGAGGGGGCAGTACCAGCTGTTCTAACGTAGGAAAGAGCAATAGGAAGTATCCTGAGCTTAGTGAACAGCATTCGGGAAGGAATGGGAAGAGGTACTACGAATGACATATACAGGGAAGTTCAAAGTAGTACAGTACCTAAGGATAAATTGTAAGGTTAAGAAAGGCTAATGAAAGTATTATTTCCTTTGGTCAGCAGCTTTGGGGGCACATGCCCCCATTTCACATCATCAGATGCAGATCTCATGTATTTGACTCTTTGTTTTCATTGCTGTTTTCGTTTTACACATTTTTGGTCATTTTCAGTTTCATGCCTGTCTCAGGGGCAAAAGTGCATTTTACTGTTTCATAGTAACAGGAACTTCTTCTCAGTTCGAGTCCTGAACACAGTCATTGGAAACACATGCTGGATGCATGTGCAAACATGCCCCAAATCCCTCCAGGACAGAGAAATGGAGACGAGGACTGTGGCATGACCATGCTCCCACAGGGAGTACCGCCTCTCTCCGGGGAAAGCTCATGTGCCCTCTGGCTACTAAAACAAAACAAAACAAAGACCAAAGCATGTATTTGTCCAAGTTGTATTTTTCTTGATGGTGTAAAATATAGTTTGTTTATTTATTTCTGCAATGAGAGAGACAGGCACCCCCAACAAGGCCTTCACAATGTGATTAACTCCTAGCCTCAGCCAGTCTGGTTCACTGGCTGTGTGTATCAGGTGTGGACAGGAGGTCGGAACTCAGACTGGGCACTTTCCCAAGGGAAAAGTGAGTCCAGTTCCACTACCACTTGGCCACCGTTTGCCCCTTCCAAAGTCTTTTAAAATATATTTTTTTAATTTTGGCGGGAGGTATGTGCACTCACCAGATAGAGAGAGAGAGAGAGAGAGAGAAAGTAAAAATGCACCCATAAGGGATGACCTTGTTGAAATCCTTTCTCATCCATTTCATATTCCAGAATTTGGGGTATACATATACTTAGTATGATTTTCTTTTTTCTTTTCTTTTTTTTTTTTTTCTTGAGAGATTTTTTGCTATAGGGCGTGTGCACTCCCCGGAGAGACAGAGAGAGACAGACAGGAAGTGAGAATTCATTCCCCCAGGGATGGCCATACAGCAAGCCCTTCTCCTTTGTTCTCCTCTCAGGGCCTTGTGCATGCACCCATATGCACCCAACATGAGTTTGTAAGCTGCCAGGTACAGGACTCAAACCACAGTCAACTACGTGGGAGTCCAGTGATGTAAGCATTATGCCATCTTCTGTTCTGTGTGATTTTCAAGACTCTGGGTCTGGGACTCAAACTGTGCAGTCAGCCATGTGAGATCCAGTTGCCTTAACTATCATGCCACAGGCAGGTCCCCAAAATATTTTAAATCTTTCTTTCCTCCTGCAACTACACATATTTACTAAGTATCTACTATTTTTTTAAAAAATTCTTTTTTGCTATAGGGCACACATGCTCACCAGACATACACACACACACACACACACACACACACACACACACAGTGAGAAATCACCCCTGGTGTGTGTTGCGGGGGGGTGGGGGGCGGAAGGCCACATTACAATCCTGTTTCCTCCTCTCTTCTCTCAGGACTTTAGGCTTGCAGGCACACATGTCCAGCATGTTTCTCAAGTGCCTGGTGGGGACTTGAATCATGCTGTTGGCCATATGAGATCCAACCACCTTAACCACCACCAGCTGGGCCAGTATCTACTGTTTTTTTTTGTTGTTGTTTTTTTTTTTGGGGGGGGTGAGAGGTTTTTGCTATAGAGCACGTGTGCTCGCCAGAAAGAGAGAGACAGAGAGACAGAAAGCAAGAAATCACCCCCCAGGGTGGATGGCCACGCCACAATCCCTTCTCCATTCCCCTCTCAGGATCTTGGGCACGCACGCACACGCACCCGGCGTGAGTTTAAGCCACTGTGCCCCGGACTTGAACATGGCCAACTATGTGGGAGTCCAGTGACATAGCCATTATGCTAACTGCTGGTCCCAGTATCTACTGCTTTTTGAATGAATATTAAAGGACCTTAGAATAGTGCCCAGTTGTTATTATCATGTACCAGGAACATTTTCATTTCCAAAACATTGACAGGCATTAAGATCTAATATATCTTCCATCACTCAAGACTTTTCTCAAAATCTTATAGAAAACTTGGGGCCAGCAGGTGGTGTGATAGTTAAGATGGCTGGGCTCCCACATGGCTGACCACGATTTGAGTCCCAAACCTGACAGCTTTTTTTCTCACTTTCCCTCCCTTTCTGGTCAACTACAAAAAAATAAAAAAATAAAATAATGATAGTGAATAAAATGAAATAAAAAATAATTTAAAAGTAATATAGAAAACTTTAAAACCTAAAGTCAGTTATTTTATTCTTTTTTTAAAAAAGAATTATTTATTTTATTTTGGGGCTGACAGGTGGCATGGTGGTTAAGGGCAGTGGGCTCCCACATGACTGACCACAGTTGGAGTCCTGGACCTGGTGGCGCTCTCTCTCTCTTTCTCACACGCGTGTGTGCAGGTGCACACTCTGTCCCTCTCTGGTCAAATTAAAATAAATAAATTTTAAAAATTAATTAATTAAGTTAAATAAAATAAAAAAGAATTATTTATTTAATTTTGTTTATTATTCTTTAATTTGACCAGAGAGAGACAGAGAAAGAGAGGGAGAGTGAGAAAGCAAACCACCAGGAACAGGACTTGAACTATAGTCAGCCATGTGGGAATCTGGTGCCTTAACCGCTGCCACCTGCCTGTTATTTTATTCTAACATAGGTATTTAACTTTTTTTTTTCCTGTTCTCTTATTTCTAAGTATGCCCCTCTTAGACATAGTTTTAATTATTTGTAATATGAAGACATGGGCTTAATTTAGAGCAGCATTGTGTTAACAGGAAAGGGAAAGTCCTGCTTTACTATTCGATAAACTGAACCTGGAAAATTCATTTCAGCCTGTCCGTCACCAGAATGGGCTGAGTGGCTGCAGGATTTCCAAGAGGTTACTGGAAGAACTTTAAAAGGGATTCATGCGGCCGGGAAGGAGTCAGTCTCTCATAATTATGAGATCCTTTGGCCTCGGATTATTTTCTTTCTTCCTTTCTTACTTAATGGCACTAGGCCCACTGTGGCAACATCGTGGGTTCCCCTCAGCATCAGCGTCGCAGCCGTGGGGTGAAAGTGGTCATTTACGATTGAACAAGCCTTTTTCCGACTCTCGGTGGGCAACCTGCACCAGAGCTTATGTTGTTTATTTTCAGATCAGTGACAGTCATTCTCAGGAGCAGGTTTGTTTGTTTCCAAGATCCGCCTCTTCACTCTCTCTGCGTCCTTTGCCCCGAAGGACTTTGCCCTTTTTATGAAGTTGGACACCTTAGCACCCTCCGCAACCGGACAGCCTCGCAGACACCTGCAGTGGAGAGTCTGCCCGGGCCCCTCGGGAGGTGTCCAGCAGGAGCGGTGTCTCCCCGCGGTGAAGAGTCGGTGAAGCGGGCCCCGGGCTCTGCCAGCGGGGCAGCCCAGGTGCGTCGCCTTCAGCACGCAGAGGCCAAGTGCCAGGCTGACGCTGCCTGAGCCGAGCCGGGAACGGCGTTTGCCCGGGCCGCGGCGGAAGCCGGAGCATTTGGGGGACGGGACCGCGGGAACCCGGAAACGCCGGGGCTGTACCGAGCTGGCGGCGGGGA